TATTACCCTTGATGTCCTGAATGTCATCAAAATGTCTTCCTTTCAATATTTCCTTTATCTTCGGGTAAAGAAAGAAGTCACTGGGGGCCAGGTCAGGTGAGTAGGGAGGGTGTTCCAATACAATTATTTGTTTACTGACTAAAATCTCCCTCACAGCCAGTGCTGTGTGAGCTGGTGCATTGTCGTGATGCGAGAATCATGAATTGTTGGCGAAAAGTTCAGGTCATCTAACTTTGTCATGCAGCCTTTTCAGCACTTCCAAATAGTAAACTTGGTTAACTGGTGTCCAACTGGTACACATTCATAATGAATAATCCCTCTGATATCAAAAAAGGTTAGCAACATCATTGCAACATGTTCACGAACTTAATTGTCAGACCGCGTATAATGGTGACATGTGCTATGATGAAAATCGAACATGGGAAAGGGAATAGAGACTTCAGTATGTTTTCAATAGACCGATGAGGAAGGAGTTCGCCAGGCAGAGAACAGAATGGTACTAAGGGGCAATGACATGAAAAAGCTTAGCCAAGTCCTGGTTCAGGAATCCAGTCACAGGTTAGTGATAAATTCCCGTGGTGCCATTATTCTTGTGAAGTAAATTCATGAGATTTCATGTGTAAACCATGAGATTTCTCTCTGCATTACAGTGATTCCTCCTGTGAGAAAGCACCCAGGAGCAATATGATTGGCAACGCTCACTGCATTCACTTTGTAGCTGAGGTGTCCTAGACAATCGGTTGTCTAGGTAACTAATTCGAAGACTGAAAGACAAAGCTACTATGTCTGTGTCCTTAAGTCACCCTTTGCTTAGCAGGGCTTCCCCAAGATCAAGGGAGAATATTAAATATCTGTTTACTAGAACCCTGGCTCTCTCCATCTGAGGCAGCCCTTTCCTAGAGTGACCCTTATCCTCTCTGCAGACATTTCTCATGGATAGGAGTCCTGTTGACCTTGTCTCTTGTGTCTCCGAGGCAATTAAACAGCCTCAGTCATTGAGTGTTCAACAACTTTCTCCTCTTCTCATTGACTTCACTGGAGTAGGAGGCTAAATATAGGCACTGGCTCTCATATCTCCCAGTCTTTCTATGCAGACAGACTTGTTATCAGTAACAGATTATGCTTTACAAGGCCAACAGGAAGAGCAGAGTAGAAACGCGGGTCTGAGTGGTGCTGAAAACCAAACAAAGCAAAAAAGAGGCTTTAGTGAGTTTCTCATTTAATAAGATCACATGCAGCAGGCAAATTGCCTTACCAACCATGAACATGGACATGACCTTAAGAAAAGTAGAGAAATTAAATGAATGTCCATGGACTCCAAGTAAATGCTCAACTGGGCTCACTGAGATGTATGTCAGGTGTTAATTAGCCTACTTGCCCATATTCATTAGCGATTGTTGGCACTGCACTTTAAAGTGTGTTTCTGAATAGGAAGTGGAGGCATTGGTCAAGAAACCTTCCTCAAGGGTCTGAACCTGACACTATGGAAATATTGTGAGACTTAGTTAAGTTCAATATACTAGTTCTGCCTTCTGGAAGCCTACTGCTCTACAGAGGAGATAAAACATATTTACAAGTAATGATTCAAAGTGCATACCGTAAGTTCTAGAACAATTTCTTGTAAGCGTAAAGTTGCATACTGCTTCTATAGTGGGAATGCAGGTTATACTTTTTCAAATCCAAGGGCTTCACGTGCTTTCCTTTTTACTATTAGTAATAGGAAACCAGGAGAAGAACACCTATAGAATGCCTGACGTAGTCATTTTAATAATAAATATTGAGTGCTGAATACACTGTGTATCTCTCAGCTATGTCATATGCATTATTTTATCAATTCTCATAAGCACACTAATAAATAAGTACTACTTTTCACAATTAAATGGCTACTGAAATGAGAGCATTAATAACTTATCCAGAAGCACAGTGTATAAGTAGAGAATTCAGAACTTCAGTTCAGGGCTATCTGGCAGTGGAACCCAGACTTTTAACATTATGTTTTTAAATGTTTACAGAAAAAAAAAAGAAAAAAATTGAGAACAATTTTTTTTAAGGATGATAAGAAGTTATTGCTTGTAAGTACATTTACAGAAAGGTTTATTATTTGGATTCAATTAACACTCATGGAATACATTTTCTTTAATAGCAACTTATGATACAACCTAAAATTTTATTTTGTTTGTAAACTTTTAACTATAGAGCATGTGAAATTGATATCTTTATTTTTCCCTGAAATATTGCACTAGCACTGAGATATAGGTATATACTTGTACTTCCTGCTTGCTGTGGTATCTTATAAAATATCCAAAAATAGAGAAACCAAATTTCTCAATTAGTGTGTAACAACGTCTATTAGCGTCTATATATCATTAATTATATGATTAATAAACTTAATTGTCAAAGTTAATATAGGATTATTAACTGTATGCTTTTCATTGTGAGTTGTCAAATGGCCTACAGAGGAAAAATAGGTATATAATGTACTAGGTTAAAAAAAATGCTCTTTAGGAAATATCTAGAATTTTATAGTTCTGTTTAGAGAGATCCTAACACTTATTTCAAGATATATAAAATAGGGCCAGCTGAGTGGCACATTGGTTAAGAACTGGCTTGGGATGCCATAGGACCCCGGTTTGGATCCCACATATGAGGGCCAGTGACACTGCCCTCTACAGCTAAGATGCTGAACAACAGCTCAACCTGGAGCTGAGATGCTGTGAGTCGCTGGTGAGGGTGTAGGCTGCAGTCCCCTGCTGCAGTGGGCTGCCATAAGCTACCATGTGTAGCCTGCAGCCAGCGTGAGTGGCCAGCAGCCGTAGTGAGCGGCCGTCCAGAAGCCGGCGACTGATCTGCCTCGCCTGGGAAGAGCGCAATGATGGTGCCAACTTGGGCCAATGAAGCAACGTCCTCCACAACTAGACTGAAGTACAAAAGGACAGCAACTTGTCTGTCCCCCTACCCCCAATTCCCCAGCACTGTTCCCATCCCCCAATTCCCCAATAAAATCTTTATAAATAAATAAAAGATATATAAAATAAAGCTATCAATTGGAGAAGATTATCAAGGAAAAAGGAATAGCTGTCATAAATTATGAAATTGAACCTGAGCTCAAGTTGGACTTGGATTCTTATAGCATTTGGTTCTTTTCAATCTAGGTTTCCTAAATAATACAGAACTTAGATATTTTGTAAGGAATGTGTTAGGAAGATATTTAGGGCATCAACTGAAATATGTATCAGTAAGGATGCCTTCAGCTACAAGTAATAAAGGCCCTCATTTTACTGGGTTTAAATAATAAAGGAATTTATTATGATATATAAAAAGAAGTTCAAAGGGATGGCTCACTCTAGGCCTAACATCTGAGGGCTTCAGCTCTGTTTTTCCTGATTTTTTTCTCAGCTGCATCCCCGGAGGCTATTTTCTATCCTCATGAATGCAAGATGGCTACAATAGTGTGAGAAGAAATACCCTATTGTGACAATGTACAGTGAAGAAAAGCAACCATCTCTTCCTTTTACTTCCCCTTAAATGAATACACTTTTCCCAGGAGTACCCTCTCGAACTCCCGCAGAGATCCCCTCCCATCTCATTCACCAATATTGTATCGTATATTTGTCTCAAAACCCATCCCTGGCAAAAGGAACGGGATATCCTGTGGATAATTAGGATCGCCCCTTGGGCTGGAGCTTGACCCAGGAAAGTGTATAGCTGTGTGAAGGAGGATAGATGCTAGAGTGGAATCACAGTTTTGTTGGAAAGGAGAAAGAGGAGTGGCTACCTGGAGCCAAGCAACAATAGCTAGTATAGAATAGTCCTAAATGTAGCTGAGAAGGGAACGACTGTGGCGTTCAAACAACCTGCCACAGTCCTTCTGAGATTGGCTCTTTGATTCCTAGATGGTCCCTAACACTGGTACTTACCCTCCTCATAATTACAGCTTCATAGAAATTTGAGCTGGAAGGAACCATTCTGAGTCCAAGATTGTTAAATGCCTTCCCCAGAGTCACAAATAAATTAATGGCAATCCTGGGCAGATTTCTTGACTCTGAGAATTGGGTGTTTTCTTTCCTTCTTTACTCTTCAGACTCTAGAACTGTTGGAATGGCTTTAAAACCCATGGCAAGCACTGGTCCTTTTGGTCATTTTGTAAAGTTCCTTATAATACATTTATTTTGTTTGTTCAGCCTCCTAGAAACTACATTGGGTCTATGCTTTAAAAAGCCTGTTGAAATCCTTATTCTTTGATTTGATACCATGTGCATGAACCACCAATGGGTTCCTTTCCACCTCACATTTGATGCGAATCTCTTTCAACATCTCTCCTGTTGCTTTTCTATCTTCCCTTGCTCCATCTATGATCAACTTCCTGTTTCTAAATAGGCTTTGTGGTCACCCCTCTCTCTTTGTGCCAGCTCCTAGTCACTAGTTACTTAGGCTGTGGTCTTTATTGTTCTTCCTACAGCCTACTCAGCTGTGGTTGTCCCACACATCCATATTGTTATATGTCCCCAAATTGGGTTCTAGGATTATTTTGGTAACCACTGCATTGGGTTAGAGTGAAACTAATAATTAAAATGTTGGAACAACTTCTCCTATTGCAAGTTGCCTCCTGTTTTTACAATCCAAGAGGCGCTGCCTCTTGTACTCATATTACATACAATGCACAAATAGCATGTGATGTATGGCCCACCATGAACCTGAATGCTTATGATTTACTTGGTACTTTTCTTCATTTCTAGGACAAGATGGTGATTAATATAAAGAGCATCCTATGGGTGTGCTGTACCTTAATAGCAACCCATGCACAGCATAAAGGTGAGTATGGGAACAATTTCTTTGGTGCTAAGTGAAATAAACATTTGAATACTGGGGCATGGAATGGCTACATGGAATTACTAGAATAAAGGATTAATTTTTTATGTATTCAGTGATGAAAACTTTTAGCTAAACTATGATTAGGCTTAAAACAATGATGTTAAATAAAGCAGTGAAAACAAAATAATGAACAGGATGCTAAAGAAGCAAGTGGTCTTTCAGTAACTTCCCAGATTACTTTCAGACTGTGCAAAAAGGCTTATATGGTCCTCCCTTGGTATCCATGGGGGATTGGTTCCAGGAACCCTGGTGGATACCAAAATCTGAGGATGCTCAAGTCCTGTACATAAAATGGTGTAGTATTTGCATATAACCAATGCACATCCTCCCTTATACTCTAAATCGTCTCTAAATTACTTATGCCTAGTACAATGTAAATGTTATATAAATAGTTGTTATACTGTATTGTTTAGAGAATGATGACAAGGAAAGAAAAAGTCTGTACATGTTCAGTACGGATGCAACCATCATAGGCTTAACTACATAGTACACACAAATAACTATATAATATGTATATGTTTTAAATTATATTTTCAATCTGCTGTTCATCCTATCTGCAGATACAGAACTCGCTGATATGGAGGGCCAACTGTTTATGTCACTGGGCAAATTTTCTATCTTCTTTCATGCGCATCAAAGACTTTCCTAGAAAAAAAGAAAGACTATGAAACTCTCAGGAGGCTAGATTTTGAGAAAAGTCAAGAAGATAAAGGGAAGCCTGATAGCCATGTTTCTGCCCCTACCTCCCCCCCCTTTTTTTGTTTGTTTTTCATCTCTCACTTTTAAAGTAACTGGATAACTTCACAGGCAGTTTTTCTTAGCTTTAAATTATGTGTCCACAGAATGAATGTTTTATAATTCCACATTCATGGACTGGAGTCCATGAATGATGGCACTGCCCTGAGCTTCAGTGATCTCCTGTACCTCTCCAGACTCCACTTCTGCTTCATTCTCACACTCACTCTATGCTTCAGACTCTCTGAATTTGCAGTTCCATGCACAGACTTCCATATTCCCTGTTTTTTCACACGTAATTTTTTTCTGCTTGGCAGTCCCTTCACTTATTCTCTACAGTTCTACTTCAACTCATTCTCTAAGACTCAAAGTTTGAGTATCACTCCATCTATCCATCCCATCTATTCATTCATCCACCGCCCCCTCCTCCAATCCATTCATGTATCTACCCATTAACAATATTCTCTGAATATTTTCTATGTGCCAGCATTTATTCTGGATGTACAGGGATATATCATTGTCCTGGATTTCATTAAACTTAATCTTCTAGTTGTATGAAACAGTCAATAGACAAACAATGTAGGTACTTTCAGGTTGATGAAAATAGAGTGACATCATATAGAATGGCCTGGGTTGGGAGGAGGTGGTAAGTTCTTTGAGAAAGTAACACTTAAACTGAGATATGAATGACCTAGGCAGCTATCAGAGTCTTGGCTCCATCAATCTGTTCATAGCCCAGGAGCTCTCTTCTTCACTGTTTTCAGGAAGTGAGGCTGAAGGTCACAGAAAGCAAAGGATAACAGCGTCCAGTGAAGAGGGAAGACATAGAAAAGAGATATAAGAAAGAGAGTTGGTTTGGGTGGGTGGTAATAGAAGGGGAATTACAGAGAAAGTAGTAGGAGAACCTCAAGTGAGGCACAGGGTAACCATCCCTCCAGTTATTAGGGAGGTAGAGGATGGTAATGGGGGTCAAATATATGGTGATGGAAGGAGAACTGACTCTGGGTGGTGAACGCACGATGCAATATATGGATGATGTATTATAGAGATGTACACTTAAAACCTATATAATTTTTTTAACCAATGTCAACCCAATAAATTTAATTTAAAAAATAAAATAAATAGTACATTAAGTCGTGAAAAAAAAGTGAAAAAAAGGAAGAATTCAAACAAAAAATGAAAAATAAAAAAAAATTATGGTATAGCTCATTGATAGTATTTTAAAATAGTGGTAATAGCTAAAAATATTGAGTAATTTCTATGTATTAGGCCTTGTTCTAAGTACTTTGCATAGTTAATTTATTTAATATTAACTCTCCAATGAGACAGATGATTTTATTTCCCCCATTTGGCAGATGAGGGAACTGTAGTACTAAAAGGTCTGGAGGCATAGCTCATATACAGGCTCACACAGCAATTTAGTGGTGGGGCCTGGAGTTGAACCCAGGCAGTTGGGCTTCAGAGTCCATGCTCTTAACTACTGTATTATACTTTACCCAAGAATCAAGCTCTTTGTAAATCTATGATTATGATTAAGAGATGTCATTAATTGGGGCTAATTTCAGAAGAATTTAATTTTTTCATATGAGGGGCAAAAGTTAAAGACATAAGGTTCACATAAAACTGATTTGCCAAGTTCATAGTGGGATACACAGCAGTACCTTGTTGTGAGTCAACACACGTATTTTTCCTGTTAAGGTTTTCTGTGTTTGTTCTTAGGCACCTAAAAGGCCAATAACTAACATTAATGAACACCTGTCATGAAGAGCTCTTTGCTTTAACAATGCTCAGCATATTGATTATCTAGTATTGACCTAGTTATCTGGCTATTCCTTTAATATTAATAAATGGAGTCATACACAGTCATGAGTAAATAAATGAATGAGAGAGTGATATTTATCACCCAAGAGAGTGGCACATTTCCATATTCTCAATCTGACATGTAGTTGACCAAGGCCTCTGTGTGCATGTGGGTGTTTGGACAAATTATGTACATGGAATTTATATCATCCTTGCTCTACAGAATTTACTGACAGAGAATAAAAGGTAATTGATCATTCATTATTTAGAGATTTCTCCCTTACTGTACTCATTGAGACCACAAGCCATCTGGTGAGAACAGTGAACTTTTTGTTAGCATTCATTTTTATTACTTGCGTTGTCAGAGTTTCAGACAAGTTCTTTCAGGTAGCAGTTTTTTTGTTGCTTTTTTTTTTTTTTAAACAAGGATAGTCTATGAACATTATCCTTGGAACTACCAAATTTCTTTCTTAAAATATTTAGATTTAGTAAACTTAGTTCTTGTGACCCAGTGCATTAAGACCCAAGATTTCATACACAAAAAGACCTGACCACACAGCTTTTCATTAATCCTGGATTTTACATGAATATATATTTATATCCAACCAAAGCTTTTAATTTTCTTGTATCTGTAAACATCCAGAACAATACACAACACTTGGGAAATTTGCCTTTGACATCATTTTGTTCCAATATATCTTTTCATTACAGCACAGTTATTGAGTGAGGCTCTAAGGTTCCAAAACCTCCAGATTGGATAGATTGGGCTGCATCTCATATCTGCCCCTACACAGCCAAAATTGTGAAAAGAACTGTAATTTAGTAATAAATATTAAGTAATTGGAAGTCACTTATCTTAAACTCTCTTTTAAGAGATGGTAAAGAATCTCATAATTTATACCACCATTGAGGTTGATGATAAAGTTGTTTATTCTCCATTAAAAAAAATCAATACTTTATTTCTGGTGAAGTCAATCATCCAAATAATTTTTTTTTTCAGGAAGGAAGATGAGCTTTCCTAGAACACAGGATGAATGCAAATTAGGAGATTTTAACTCATAAAATTTTCACCCCTTCCCTTCTCAGGACCCCTGTTCTTGGCAAAAAAATGTACTTGTATTGTTATCATCTCCCTAATGGGATCCAAATTAAAGGGCTATGAAACAGGTAGGGGCTACACTCAGGAAGTCCCCTGTGGACTTTATAGATTTATTTAAAAGATCATGAAATTACTCAGGTTAAAGTGCAGATAACAATTAGAGAAATAGGATGGGAAAGAAATAGGATAGGTGAAGACTCTGGAAAAAAACAAAAACGAATCTAGGGACAAGGGAAGAACCTAATAAAAACCAAAGCTGAAAGATTCCTTGATGAGGTATCAGGAGACATTTGTTCTGGCCCAGGCCTGTCACTAGTCAGCTGGGAGGGGAACATCCCTAGTAAGGGATTGGATCAGTTTCACTCTGAGGATGAGCTTTAAATAAGATAATTTATTTTGTAAGCCAAGGAAGCCATTAAAAATTAATTATTCCCTTGCTTATTATAGTCTAAGATGATAATAGTCTCAGTAACATTTTACAGTTTAAGTTAGTGCAGCTAAAGCACACTTCATTTTATTTTTATTTAATCTTGTGAAGTGCCTTTAATCCTGTTTTGGACAAGCTATATATAGATTAGTAAAATGATAAAGAAATTCATGAGAGCAATGACCATTACAAATTTGGAACGATTAGTGATTTGTATCATAAGTACAATAAATATAATACTGAGTTACTTTAGATTCATTTGTATCACATGAAATATTTTATGTCAGTCTTTTTGAAGTTAAATTTTAATCTTTAGCAATAGAGAGTATTTTTTTCTTAAAGAACATAATATCTCCATACCTTCCTGTAATTTTCAAAATGACTTACCCCCAACTAGATCCACAGAGCTTTATTGACAGCTATATCATTTCTGATGCATGTCCATATTGACATGTGTGTTACCAACAGCTTTGACCACTAACACCCTGATACACATCATTTTGTTAATTAAGAATCATTATTTCATTCCACCTAGAGGATACTATGAATTTGTTCATCATATTTTCATGAAGTGGAGGTTGCTTGAGTATTAATGATAATTTTTATTGTTATTACCACAACATTGTCTAGCCGATTAGTAGACCCTGGAAGATGAAGTGGGGTTGGAGAGGTGAGTGAGGGGTACGGATTCCTCCAAGAGTGAAAGGACATTTCTTTTGCATGCAATAGTGTTAAATTGTAGCCAATGTATGCTTTCTCATTAAAAGTTTAAGGGCTTACACAGAAAGACATTCTGTAGATTAATACTTTAGGAGGGTTAGGGGAACAGATGCCAACTTTCCCCCCAGGATACAATCGAGAGGGTATGTTTCACTGCAAAGTGATTGCAGCTGGATTTGTCATTATGATGAAAGTCTTTGGTTCAAACACTGAACCAGAGAGGGTCCCTTCTAGTGTTCGACTTCCCCCTGCTCCAGTCGACTGAAGGTTTTTTGTGGTTTTTTTTTTAAATTTTTATTTTCACTTCCTCTTTGAATTTTATTTTCATTTCCTCTAAGGTAATGTGGCAGTTATCTTAATAAACACTTTTCATCTTCTGACCTGGAGACATAAATTCACCTTTCAACTGCTCTTTCTAACACTGGTCCAGTCTTTTAAACCTGCCGACTCTTGTCTCCTTTGGCCCTTGATGGCTTGCCTCCCTAGACTTGGCATTATTTTATCACTCCTTTAGTTTATGTTACACGCTGAGTTACAAATACTTTAAAATGAACGTCATATTTTGGGTACATAAAGTGAGCATTATTCATCCCTGTCTTTGTTATAAAACATTTTTGAAATCATATACTATTCTCTGTATATAAAATCATTCTTATGATTTTACATTTTGAAGCTATAAGAAAGCAAGGGTTTCTTATCCAGTCACACATATCATACTCAGTTTGGGTTTTTTTAAGACTCTTAATTTGGTATTTTCTCTTTCTTCTAGTTAAAGTGGAAAAAAGCCCACCTGTTAAGGGCTCCCTCTCTGGAAAAGTCAACCTACCTTGTCATTTTTCAACCATGCCTACCTTACCACCCAGTTACAACACCACCAGTGAATTTCTCCGTATCAAATGGTCCAAGATTGAATTGGACAAGAGTGGGAAAGATTTAAAGGAGACTACTGTTCTCGTGGCCCAAAATGGGAATATCAAGATTAGTCAGGGCTACAAAGGAAGAGTGTCTGTGCCTACACATCCCGAGGATGTGGGCGATGCCTCCCTCACCATGGTCAAATTGTTGGCAAGTGACGCGGGCCTCTACCGCTGCGATGTCATGTATGGGATTGAAGACACTCAGGACACGGTGTCACTGACTGTGGACGGTAAGGCCTTTGGAATCTATGAGAAGGTAGCATAACTTGACGCCTGGTTCAGAAGGGTTGCAAGACAGTCCTTAAACGTTGCTGTTGCTCAAGTTTTGGGCAAGTGGAGAAACTGCAATCATCCACAACAGTCGATGTCTTTTACCAAAAATAAACCGTTATTTGTTCAGAGGTCAAGGAAGGTGATTTTTTGTGCAGCAACTTCATTGATTCAATGCAGTAAAGTATAGTTTGTACACTGGAAATAATGAATACCTCAAGACATGCTATATAGTTCAAGAATCATTACTTCATCATTGAAATCTATCAATGATTACTTTTTAAGACTGGAAAAGCTAGTCTACATTTTGTTCTAATTTTAACATGTGTGTATGCATATATATGTACACAGATATATATACGTAGGTACACACACACACACAAAAAAAACCTTTTCTTTTTTCTCACTCTCAGTGATTATTGAAATCTTTGAGTTTGCTTTTAAGAAATATAAATTCTGGGCTGGCCGAGTGGCATGTTGGTTAAGAGCTGGCTTGGGATGTCACATCTGAGCAGCAGGGCCCCGGTTCGGATCCCACATGAGGGCCAGAGACACTGCCCTCTACAGCTAAGATGGTGAACAACAGCTCGACCTGGAGCTGGGCTGTCGGTGTGAGCTGCCAGGAGCTGCTGTGAGAGGCCGTCCAGAGGCTGTAGCCCGATCTGCCTCACCCAGGACGAGTGCAATGATAATACCTACCTGGGCCAGTGAAGCAAGGTCCTCCACAACTAGACTGAACAACAAAAGGACAGCAACTTGTCTGTTCCCCTTTCCCCAATTCCCCAGCACTGTTCCCCTCCCCCAATTCCCCAATAAAATCTTTAAAAAACAAAACAAAACAAAAAAAAAACAAATGTAAATTCTATCTTAACTTATGCTGAAGAAATAAGGCACTTAATAAGAACCATGGTGCATGTCACAGTGCCTTAAAAAGGCCAGGAATCAATAAACATTTGAATTGAATCAAAACAAGAATTCAGTGAATTTTTGGTAAAGATTAATACACTAGTTGTTATCTATTAAGTCTTGCAATGAAACATTGTGGTTATAGCCTACGTTCAGTGGTGGCTTATATGTCATTTGAATTTAAGTGAGGAGACAAAGCAGAGAAAAATTGCTTTAATTGGGCACACACATAGTGCCATAGCTCTTGGAAGCAGAATGTTTTGGCAAGTTATTAAGCAAAACTCTAATACCCAAACATGATGGAACAGATTTTTCTTTCAACCCTCCATTTCCCTATAAAATATTTACCTTTCAAGAAATATATACAAAGGGCTTTATTAAAACCCTTTCTTGTGTAGCCAAAAGGAAATACTTTGAATTTCAGATGCAACAAATTAATTTCCTGGGCATCCTTTTACATTTAGATTCTGTTGCTTTCTTCCATAAATCTATTTTTATGTTGTCCAGGCATCCACTAAATATCCTGGGCCCTTTGCTCTTTTAACCTTTTTATCATTTATTTTAGTTAGCCTAGAATTGTTTTGTTCTACTGATAGTTCTATAGATGATGATAGATGATAGAAAGGTAGATGATAGATAGAGAGATAGATAGATAGATAGATAGTGTTAGTTACACACTAAATATAAAATTATATACTAACATGTGTATTTAAAATCCCAAAAAGTTTAATAACTTCTTGCAATTTTCATCATTAAAGAATTAGCAATAGATTTGGCCCTTGCCCCTCTGAAATAATGAAAATCCTCTGCTTAATCTCCTTAGCCCCAGGAGGTCTTCAAATTATCCCAACAATTGCAGATACTTGTACAGACTGATATTCCCTGCCTTGGTCATGGAGGCCCCTCTGTGCCCCCTTACTGCCAATCCTCACTGCACATGCAAGGTTTTTAATTACCAAGAAGACTATTTGAAGCTTTGATTAACATAAGACTAATTTAAAACCACTCAAATTCTTGCTTAAGCCTTAGAGATTATTATAAGCTATCTCTCATACTTACCAAATACCACATATATACTTCCTGGCAATTTCAAAGTAGTTCTGTAAAGGTACAAATTTTCTGAAAGGCATTTGATGATTTTTTTTTCAATATCAAAAATAGGAAAACAAATGTTAGTTGTCAGTGCATCTACCTGGTGCCTGTGCAGGTTTCTTTGTGTTGACACTGATCAGAGGTGCTTATCTATGACATGGCTCGTCTTTTATCCATAGTGACTTTATTGGCACATACCTGTTTTGGAAGAGAGAGACAATCTGAGGGTGAGCATGTGGGAGAGTCTTACAGCTAGAAGTCAGGCTGTGAGAGCTAGACTGTTATCTACCCCAGGAAATTACTAACAATAAAAAGAGATTGGAAGATATTTTAGAAACCAAAATTAATTCTTCATAACAAAAAAGTGTCCTTAAATGATATGACTCAATAAAGTCTCAGCCATAACACTCAGTTGCCCCAATTTCTATTTTCCAGTGAATTCCCAGGCACATTAGCTTGACTCATTTTGCAGACTTCTGGGAATGAGTCACCATATTTACCTCAGTTAAAAATTGATATGCTCTTGCTGAAGTGGGAGGAGAGGACCCAAAGCTCCATCCCTTCAGCTGCTCTTTCCTCAGCCCTTTGACAATTCCCTGAGCCCTGGAGCACAGTTCAACAACTACTAGCTTATGCAACTTCTAAAATACAACAAAGTGGACTTTGAGGCAAGTACCAGGATGCCTGGCTTCTACCCATGGAGTCTAGAGAACTTCGCTTCAGGACTTCTTCTGGATAAAAGTCCTACATTTTATCTGTCATAGGGGTGGCCCTAAATTATGCTGGTCAGATAATGAATATGATAAACATTTGAGTAGTACTTAGTAGCCTATCCAACATTTTAAAATCCTTTAGTTAATTTGAACATCACATCAGTCAAATAACACAAACAATATTAGTTATACTTTATGGGGGAGGAAATTAAGACTCAGTATGTAATTAAGGACTTGTATATAATTAAGGAGCAAATTAGGGATTAGAACAAACCTTCTCATTCATACAAAATCCAGGGTCTTTTCCATCTTAATATATTGTCTCTGGAAATAAATATCTCATGTTTTATGTTTAGGAGAAGTGGTGTTAATGAATGTTCCATGTGCTGCTTTTGAGTTGACCCAGAGTAAAATCATGAAGTAGGAGAAGTCGATCTTGTGGACCCATGAAATCTTTTATCTCCTGTCACACCTAGTACCTTTCATTTTCAGTGTTCCCATGATAGCCTGAATACTACCTGTGATTAGGACAGCTATCCACCTCTTGGGTTTTGGTGGCTTAAATCTTTTTCTTAGATTGTTTACATGGGAACAGAAAATGTGTGGCCAGGAAACTTTCTAATGGAGCAGAATGGAACCGGGGGCCCTCAGATCACCATTAGTTTGCATGATGCTACATAGAGTAAAAATAAGAATTATCACGGTGTTATGACCATGCCAGCAATTAAATTGATGTGTTGCTCCAGTGAGAAACTTTGCGCAGTATGCTGGGAGATTGGAACGTGCCCATAATTGTTTTCTATCTTTGCAGGGGTTGTGTTTCACTACCGGGCGGCGACCAGCAGATACACTCTGAATTTTGAGACTGCACAGAAGGCTTGTATGGATGTTGGGGCGGTCATAGCAAGCCCGGAGCAGCTCAACGCCGCCTATGAAGATGGATTTGAACAGTGTGACGCAGGCTGGCTCTCTGATCAGACTGTTAGGTGAGATGTCTGGGGGCCACAGGCTTTAATTCATTCATTTGGGAGTGAGAATACAGTGCTCATTACTAGTCCTTCATCTCTCCAGGTATCCTATCCGGACTCCCCGAGAAGGCTGTTACGGAGATATGATGGGGAAGGAAGGAGTCAGGACCTATGGATTTCGCTCTCCTCATGAAACTTATGACGTGTATTGTTACGTGGACCATCTGGATGGTAAGACGTTTGCATTTCTCTAGTTTCATTTGAACTAAGGAAATGGAGAGAAGACTGGGAGCATGTTGGAATAAAGCAAGTCTTCATGCTTGTTTGGATTCCAAACAGCAGCAGTTAGTTTAAATAACCGTATGATTCTGTGGTGAAATAAGCTTAAATTAAAGTGGAAAGAGAAGGAGGAGGGTGTAAATGGTTATGCAGGTTAGAAATGTCTTTCGTTAATAGCAGGGTTTCTCTCAGTCATGCTGCTATTGGACTATTTCCAATACAATTTTAGAGCATTAAGAATAGAAAGCTGTAAGGGTGGTACCTATTCTTGTGAGAATGTCAGGTAAAATCCTGCGATGACAAACCCCTGTGAATCCAAGTGCTGATAAACACACCAAGGCTCAGCTAAATAACTTCAGCTAGCCCATGTTTTACTCTTCCTGTTTACTTTGCTACACTAACATTCAGAGCAATCCTTCATTCAGCCAGTCGACACATTAAAAAAAACCCACCCACTGTGTGATACTCTGCTAATTGTTAGGGATGTTGAAACCAGGTAAGATGTAAGCCTTGCTTCAAAGATGCTTAGAGTGTGATTGATTTTGGACTATCATTTCTCTCTCAGCATGAGTTAGAGGTTCTTAAAGACGAAGTTTAAGTTCAATAGTGGAAACATTATCTAAGGGGCACAATGGAGTTTTATTATAAGACACATGGAATAGAAGTGTCTGTGACTTTTAAAATGGAGTTTCATTTGTGTCCACAGGTATCCTAGAAACCTATGTAAATAGAAGTATTGAATCGAGTTAGACTTTGAAGTTTGGCTGGGTACACATAAAAAAAATGATCTCAATTTTCTTCTCTGTAAAATGAGGAGGTTGGAGATTACCATAGTCTCTTCCAACATTAAAATAAAATTCTATGATTCTATGATTTTATGAATTGAGTAAACAACCTCAGAGACTGAAAGCTAAAGAATAAGCAGCTTGCATTTTCCTAATGCCCTGGCTAAATTTGAATCAGAAGTCCTGCTTACAAGAAGGCTGCTTAAGTGTATAGTTCTCAAGCATCTTAACATTCTAATTATAACTATCATTTAAGGCTGGTAATTATATTTTCTAAACTAGAGCTTCAGATACTAACAATTTCCATTTCTGTATGGGCACAAAAGGAAACAGTATGTAAAATCCAAGCTATGATATATAGCTTTTCTCCTTCCTTTATTTTAAATTTAATGTAATCGGTGATGATTGGTAGGCGAATCTGGTTCTAGGAAATAAATTTGGCTATCGCTGTTTCAGTGAGATGGAAATGTGTATCCAGATTCAGTAACATGGGATTTGTTTTATCATTGTTTTCTTAATACAGAATAATATCTATCAGAGTGATAGTTATAAAAATTTCTAGAATACTAGTACTGGTAATACTGGAACTGAACCAGAGGTAGTTTTGGGGAAAGTATACCTAAGGTCTAATTACCTAAAAGAGCTTTACCAAGTATAATAGAAATGGTGGCTTTCAGGTACAAATCCATGGCCTGATCTAAATATGAACAGTCATCACAAGCCAGCCTGCTTAATGGAAAGATAGGCTTCTATACTCACAATGGTATCAGATGGAGAGCCTAAGGGCCTCTGTGTGTGTCTTTTCTTATCCTTAGGGAGCCACCAAAACCTCACTCTCTAAGGCTGTAGACTCCCTAACTTCTTTCGAGCCTTTTTCTGCTTTTGCAGAAGTCCTAAAAGATCCCTGCCTTCCTCAAATATTGCTTGAAGTACTCTTGACAGGTCCAGTGGTAGAAGTCCTGCTGGGGATCTCCAGCCACATTAAATCAACTGAGAGCTGGCGCCCCCACAGTCTGTTCAGAGTATTGTCACCAGCGTGTGAGCAGAATTGGGACCTGTCAGAAGGGTAGCTCTGAGGATGTACACATACACCACAACGAGAAGGACTTATTATCATATAGGAGTCCTTTTCCACCTCCAGAAACATCGCTTCTAAGGCAGCTGTTATTCGTAAAACCAGTCTCTGCCCCAATGTAACCCAACTGCATTTTATACAGTTACTTGGGACAAATGTTCCAAATGGCTGAGAACTTGTAATGTGCAATACAGCATAACTTTAGTTTGGGTATTTATACCAAAGCGACAGAATGTGAACCTTTTTGTTTTAACACATAAACGTTGGAAGGTAAAGGGAAAACAATCAGTATAAATACTAATTCAAGTATTGGCTGAAATCTGTATCATAAGAGTAGCAAGTCTTTTATTTGTTTCATAGAAGGAACTTGACAAACCTGGAAGATATTCAGTATATTTAGAATGACCTTGTTATGGAAAGTTTTTATTCCTCACATTTGTTGTCCTTTGGAATAATTAGCAAAGCTTGGGACACTGGTCTTTTCTCTATCAACTTGAAATTGGACTGGTGGTGGTGGTGCGAGGGGAATTAAAGAGTGACTTTTGTGACTGATGATGTAAGAGGAAGATCACAAAACCATTCTTGGGAGGTCTCCCTCCCTCTTTTACTGACGTGTATGTCCTCCCCTGGAAGTAAAGACGATTGGCTAAAGTGTGAGTTGATAAAAATTTGTGTGGAAAGTTAACTATATAAAATTATACCTGGGGGCGGCCAGTTAGCTCAGTTGGTTAGAGCGCAGGACTCCTAACACCAAGGTTGCCGGTTCGATTCCCACATGGGCCACTGAGAGGTGCTCTCTACAACTAGAATGAAACAACTACCTGACTTGGAGCTGATGGGTCCTGGAAAAACACACTATGCTGTTCCCCAATTAAAAAAAAACTGTTAAAAAAAATTACATCTGGTATTTCAGTGCCACACTGAAAAAAGATTATTTGAAGTGAGTCAAAATTCCTCACAAGAGATATTTATTTCTATATTCACAGCTATAATAATTCCCACCTGTATTTTCTTGTATTTTTAACTACCAAGTGTGTATGAGAGTGGTGACAGAGACAGTAAAAAAAATAGAGATATTGATGTACTCAGAATGAATGAATGTGTTGGAACACATACACAGTTATGAACAAGGTGCAATTACTTCAGATCAGAAGCCATATTATTCCCGATGGTCTACTGAAAAAGCCAGTGAAGTATAAAATGAAACCTAGTTCAAAAAGACAATTAATTTTGTTTTAATTTAGTGATTTATCATGAAAGATATTTAGTTGACAGAATGTCAACCTTCTGTTTTTTTCTGCTTTCTTGTCTTATATGTCATATTCATCCTGATATGTATTTCTTTATAAAATTCAAGTAATTATACTAAATAAAATTCAGCCAGTTTGAGGGAGAGAAAAATGAACCTGGTTCTTATTCTAAGGTGGTGATTATAACACAGTTATGCCTATGGATACAATATCTAAATCTATTTTAACAAATAACCTAGTAAGTATAAAGGAGCAATTACATGAGCTATATCTACTACCAAGCATTCCAATATTAGCTTGTGTTCTTAGAAATGGTCTAGACATTATGGTGGCTTATTAGCCATGACCCAGTAACAAAACACTGTTAGTAAACAATGAATAGAATTAGGATTCTCAAGTAGGAATCTAGAAATGAAGACTCATAAAATAATCCTCATTAGGAAGTTTAATCTGTGTTTCCTGGTAAAGTGGATTTGGCAAACACTGAGAGGGTTCCTTATTAGGAACTTAATCTGCGTTTCCTGGTAAGGTAGGTTTGGGAAATGTTGAGAGGGTTTAGAGTAGAGCTGAGATGATTACATAGCTCACTTAACTAGTTGTGAGATCCTGAGCAAGGCGTCCTCTCTCTAAGATTCAGTTTCTTCTTCTGTGAAATGGAGACAAGAATACTTACTTTTGAATCATGGAGTGAAGATGAAATGGGTTAATGTGTAAGGCTTTTATCTCAGTGCATGGCACAAAGTAAGTGCTCAGCAAGTAATAGCTGTTATTATTATAGCTGATGGGTATATGAAAGTTTCTTGATTCCCACTAAATGCATAAAAAGAAGAAATGAATTAAAATTCAAGTCTGTGAATTTAGTTCCATATAAGGAAAATTTTTCTGACAATAAATGTCATGAAATGTAGAAAGAATCCTGACAGACTGTAAAATTTCTCCTCTGGAGCTTTCTTAAAACTAGAATTAATCTAAATTGTTAGGAGTACAATGCAATGCTCTGTCAAAGTTTGAGTAATGGTACTTTGAAGGATATAGAAAATAACTGGAAATCGGTGACTTTATGAACAAGGGTGATTATTTTATGGTAAGGCATTTTGGATATAACAAGTTGCTTGAACATTATTGAATAATTAAAAATAATACGGTGGCAAAATAAGAATTCCTATATTATCTGTCCTCTATTGTTTGAAATCAGTTATGCTCTGTTTAGAACATTATTTTCTTGAATCACAGTGTTCAGAAATGAATCTGGAGTCTACCTCCCCACAAAGGGTCTTGGGCACATAAGTATGTCTATGTCACCAGTGGAGGATGTAAATACTTCTGAACGTGCTTTGTGAATTAATGTATTTCTGTGCAGAAAGTGGAAGTTTAGTAGGAAGTATGTGTGTCTAGTTACATCCATAGCAAAAAATAATTCCTAAATAAGATAAAGAATGGAGCATAAGGTAAATATTTCAGCTAAAAAAACAACAACACTCAAACATTTAAGGAATCTTTAATTATTTTTTAATGAAATTAATATTGGGTCGTCGGGAAACTCATGACGTATTTTTCTATGTTTTTCAATGCAAAAATGCATCATGACTTTCCAGATGACCCAATAGGTTGACTGTTTATATGGTTTCTTTCTGGTAGCTGGTATTTGTAAGAAGATAGCTTCCTTTGTATATGGGTGTAATTCTCCCTGCAGATCAATCAGAAGGTGGTAGATGGGGTCAGATTGCTTTCTTTCATGGTTAACCCTCTTAGTTCCCTTACAAATGAAGCAATAACTTTCAGTGTTGTCTCCAGACCTGACAAATGAATGATCCAGGAGCTCCTTGCCCCTCTGACATGGGC